TTAATTCGAACCAGCTCACTTGCACAGTCATAGAAGTATGCTGTGGATCTGCAAGTTTCTCTGACGCTGTTCGCCGTGCAGGTTTCGCCGTTTTTCCGATTGATCACCAAGCAAACCGTCATCACACCAAGGTCAAGCCAGTCATCCTTGACTTAACCATAGACCACCATGTGAGCATCTTCAAGCAACTGTGCACTCACACCAAGCCTTGTTTGATTTTTTGTGGATTTGCTTGTGGCACCGGTAGTCGAGCCAGGGACAAACGACTCCCTGGTCACCTAGGTCACGGGCACGGACCTCCGCCACTTCGTAACGAGCAGCGCGTGTGGGGCCTTCCAAACTTGTCACCAAACAACCAATGGAAAGTTTCGCAAGCAAATATGATTTACAAATTGGCATTGTGGATTCTTGAGTTTTGTCACAAGACAGGGTGCCTTTTCGCTGTCGAAAACCCACATCGCTCTTGGCTGTGGGCGCTTCTCGCTGACATGTTCAGAGCTTGCAACAACCACGCCTTGAAAGCCTTTGCAGCCACCATGGAACATGTGATTTTCGACCAGTGCATGCGTGGGGGATTAAGGGATAAACACACCAAAATCCTAGCCTCTCCAGGGTTGTTCACACCTCTAGTTGCTGATTGTGACCAATCACACGAGCATGCCTCTTGGACCCCTTATGCTCAAGGTAATCGAATGGTGTACCCCACAGCCACTGAAGCTGAATACCCAGCCTTGCTCTCCAAACGCATGGCTGCCCACTTGGGGCTCACACCGCAAGTGCGCCCACGCTTGAAGGACCTCCTCACATATAGCCTGGGGGCCCAGACCATTCGACATTGCCAGAATATAAGGAATTTGCCTACTTAGACCAACCCGTAGACCTTCCCTCCTACAAGCTTTTGGCGTCTCCAATCCAGGGGCGAACACCGAGACGCCCGAAAAGGAGACTCCCCAGAAGAAATCTCGAGTTAGGCGCGCGTATAAGTATGGCATCCTTAGAGAACCAGCTGAATTCTTGGAACAAGCCAGGCAGGTCGTGCGTCCGATCGATACTGAGCACTTCATTCATGAAGCAACTCATGAAGCCATTAAGGACGTGATAGCGACCGACCCAGTGACCCCCAAAAGAAAAAGAACTGAAAGCGAGCGTGGCCCCGCAACTTCGGGAACGACTGAAGGCCAAGAATATTGTCCTTTTTGAACACATCTTGAAAAAGTTGGGATACGAAGACTTGGGGGTGATCGACCTCCTCGTGAAGGGTGTCCCGCTTGTGGGCATGCAGAAAGCTCCGAGTGGATACAAGCCGTTAGTGGTTCCTGCAACTATGACCCAAGACGAACTTGAGGCATCAGCTTTGTGGCGAAGGAAGAGTGAGATGGGGGCCAAGTCGGACCTAGCCGCTCCTGATGAGGAAGAGTTGGCGGCAGCAGCTCAAAAGGAAGTGGGCCTTGGTTTTTTGGAAGGGCCCTTCACGGAGTCGCAGCTGGATAGTTTTTGTGGCCATCAGAAGGGGCTCCTGAACCCGAGGTTCGCCTTGCACCAAGGACAACAAAGTCCGAGTGATCGATGATGCCAAAGCCAGCTCTCTGAATACGGCGTACTCTTCCACCTTTAAGTTGCAACTGCAGGATAATGACTACATAGCGGCCATGATCCGTGCGGCCATGATGGAGCAACAGCGACAGGGAGTGTCGGACACTTGGCTTGGGAGGACCCTGGACCTCAGCAAAGCCTAGAAGCAGCTGGCCATCATGCCTGAACACGCCCACCTTGCAGTGGTGGGATTTCCAGTCAGGGGCAAGTGGCAATTCTATAGATCTATTGCACTACCTTTCGGGGCAACAGGCAGTGTGTATGGGTTTGTCCGAGTGTCACAGGCCTTGTGGTTTGTCGTCGCCAAGTTGCTGAAGGCCATTACCTCCCATTACTTTGATGACTTCCCAATGATAGAGCGAACAGCAGGAACCAGAGTGCTTTCTCTTTCCTTTGGGGCCATCTTGGATTTATTGGGCTGGCAATACGCCAAGGAGGGCGACAAAGCGAGTGACTTCGCCCTGGCTTTTGACGCGCTTGGCGTGACTTACACGCTGAACCATGCTCCATCAGGAGGCTTTGAGGTCGCAAACAAGGCGGGGCACATTGAAAAGATATGTGAGCTGCTGGAGGAAATAGAGAAGCGTGGCATTGGCACGGGAGCCCAAGCAGCAGAAGTGCAAGGACTCCTTAACTTTGCACGTGGCTTCTTTTCAACCAAGGCTGTCCGCCAGCTGGTGTCTGCCTTTGCGCCCTTAGCCGACAACCACAACACTGAAGCTAGTAATAGACTGGTAGCCTTGTGCCGCTATGCCCGAACCCTCCTGGTTGCTTTAGGACCCCGATCTCATAATCTAAATGACGCTGATAGTCCTTTCCTCCTTTCCTCATATTCACAGACGGCGCCTTCGAGGACGGTCATGCCTCGGCCGGTGCAGTAATAGTGGACACGGTTATAGGATTCAGTTCGTGCTTCGAAGTCCAAGTGCCTCAGGACCTTTTGGACCTTTGGCTTGAGACCCCGGACCAAGTGATTTGCCAGATCAAGTTGTGGGCCTTTGTGGCCGTCCGGTGGGATCTCCGAGCCACTCTTCTGAACAGGAGAGTCATAGCTTGGATCGACAATGCGGCAGCCCGAATCAGCCTCATCAAAGCTGCCTCGCACTTGCCCAGCATGGCAGCCATGTGCCAAGTTTGTTGCGACATGGAGATACCCTACCCAGCAATCGAAAGAGTGCCGTCATTTTCGAACCCTGCTGACCTTCCTTCCAGGCACCAAGTTTGCAGGGCATCGGAGAGTTTGGGCCGAGCACCTTGCATTGCGATCCGGAGTTGGTAAGGGCAGTCAGGGATGCTACCCAAAATCCCTTCACTGTTTCTCATACCACGGGGGCATAAATCCGAGACACAGTCAAGGAGATATGCCATGTTACCTTGGCATCCCTTATACTTGGTAAACGGATAAAAGATGACTGCGCACTACGTGTGAGACTTCCCCAGACTCAATCGCAATTGAAGCAAGGACACAAAAAGGAATACATATAAAGCTGACAGCCGTCGAAGCCATCGGTTTCGGCTTTAATTTTGAACGGGTTCACGATATTCCTTTTCTACACTCCCTTTTTAAATTATATGAATTATATGAATACCTCCTCTCGTACTAGTCGGTATACCTCTGATGTATCGGCTAAGTCACACTGGAGTTTGTAGGTGAGTAGCCTAGCTAGTAACCACAGGGCGCAATACGAATAAGATAGGTCACTCCCGACAACGATCCCGAGCGGCGCAAGAGAACATCGCCTACCCCCGCCGGCACGGGAACCGCCGCAATTGAGGGACCTCCTATGTGGAGCACTTTTGGGGGCGCAGCTGACAAATGACAGCTGCTGGTGCTGGGCAAATGCTGGACTCCTTTGTACCATTTGGGCCCTGCTTTGTCGAGATGATTTTGGCTCACAACTTCGTCCTGTGCGAGCCTTCCTTCATCGACTTCGAGCCATTCCGGGGACAAGTGTGGCTCTTGCCTTCCCTGACCTCCTTCGACATGCTGCTCAGAAGTGCGTGCCTAGGGATGTTGGAGAGTTCATTTCTGAACTAGTGGACTGGACTGGCTTGAATCTGAAGCCATCTCCATGACATGGGAACGAAGATTTCTTGCTGGATCAAAAATTGAGCGTAGGCAGCAAGACCTCAGGCCATTTTGTGATCTTCCTGCGGGCTTGGAACCCGCCCTGTTGGTATGAGATGGACGATGCCAAACCTGCTAAACAGCACAGCTCCTTGCCAGCGTGGGCCAGCAGCGATTGGTCTTGGTTTGGTTTGCCCGGCCACCTCGGTACCTGCCTCCTCCTTTCCGAGCCTGGGTGACCTGGCGACTCCGGCCGCAGGCATGACCAGTCCCTTGGATACTGAGGAGCCTGATCCTGATGAAATGTCAGAGGACATGCACATGGATGCCATTGAGGCATCCGCCACCGGCTTTTTGGATGCCGCCTGTCCCTGCTGCTGGCGCGCATCACGGATGCGCTTGTGCCTGGAGCTGCTGCGGCGCCGTCTCCACCACCTGCGGATGCCTCGACTCTGCGCCGCTGAGGTAGGAGACCTGTGCAGCCCCTTAGAGTGATTGTTGTGATTTGTGGGAAGAAACTTCCTCCATGGGCTGGCATTTTGTCGACCTCCCCACATAGCCAATCCATCTCAGTAAGATGCTTGGAATTTTGGAATTTTGATGATTTGAATGAATGCAGATTGGATAGAAGCTTGACTGCATAGAACTTTTGGGCCAGACGCCTGTTCGTGCTATAGCTACAGAAATGTACTCCACCGGAGTCCGCCGGCCACAGAGCCCGCGAACGGCTGCGCTGCCTCTCTGGACGCGTGAGAAGAAGAAGTTGTTGTTGTTGTTGTTGTTGTTGTTGTTGTTGTTGTTGTTGTTGTTGTTGTTGTTGTTGTATGTACAATGTACTATCATTCATGAATACAAGGATTTTGCATGCTTGATGGCAATGATGGACTGGAACAATTTTTTTTGGGGCGAGTCCACTGGCGTCAGTGTGCCCGTGGTTGTTTGCATCCAATCATTTCATTTCCAACGTTTTCAGGTTGCGTTTTCGTCCCAGGTGTGGTTGAAGCAGACCCAGCAGTGAGAGGGGTGAGCTGGTTGCTGGTGGCTGGTGCGCCCCTTCCGTTCAGTGAAGTGAAGGCAGCCGAGCAGAGAATGACAGCGATCGGAAGATCCGAACTCGGACCATTGGACTGAAGGGCTGGCCTAAAAGCATTGGGGGCTTCCATTTCAATCGATGGATGCTTTCCAAGAAAAATTTTCCAAACGCATTATATGTTGGAGTTTTTGTTATTACATGTTATTACGGTTTGCTGGCCAGCATGGGGCCTCCTCAGGGGTTGCAACCTGTCCAAGCAGCGCCCTCCGTGCAGCAGGAAGCCAAAAGACGGTCTTCCATCATCGTCCTCAGGCGGTTGAGGAATCGAGAGCCGACCTTTCACCGTTCGCATTGGCATGTCATCCTTTTCATCACGGAGTTTTGGGCTCCAAGATTGTGAGTGTATAGATTTTGACCAAGCATGTGTTGTGTCGTCTGCCGCTTGGTGCGGGTGGCTGCTCTTTTTCAGGCATGCCTTGCCCGCACCTGCTTCAAGGCCCCCGCCAGTGCCAATGGCTGGTATGGAATTCAATGGCGTGAGCATCCCTACGTTGGTACGGGGAGCTATTTCGACTCCGTATCCTTTACCGCCATGACCTGCACCATGGGAGTCTACGTGAACTGGATCGAGTATCCCAACAGTGGTTGGGATTTGTCCAAAGATGAACATGGAGCAAGTCCCAGATGCAGCGGCCAGGTTTCCCCAAACCAAAACAGCACCATCACCTGCGGCAAAACAGGTCTTCACTACACCGTTCATCCCGCCGTTTGGGGGGAGTGCAGCCGAGCAGAGATTTGCGATGTGCAAGGCGTGTCGCATCTCCAATTGATAACAGGCACTCAAGTGGACTATGAATGGAGTCCCGGGGAGTGGACCACTTGCTCTGAAACATGTGGCCCTGGCACCAAGACCCGCAGCGTCTTGTGCTCGCCAGAGGATCCCGGATACTGCCATCAAAATGAGAAGCCCTCGACGACAGATGATTGTAACCTCGCAAGCTGCCAGTGGGAAATCCAAAGCTGGGGTGCGTGTTCGCATCTCTGTGGGGGTGGCGAGCGGAACAGAAATGTCACATGTCCACGAGATGATTCTTTTTGCATTGGCACCAAGCCAGATACCACAGAGGCCTGCAATGAGCAATTATACGAGTGGGACGTGCAGAATTGGAGTGCTTGCTCTCAAGATTGTGGTGGTGGCGGGCGGAACAGAAATGTCACATGTCCACGAGATGATTCTTATTGCATTGGCACCAAGCCAGATACCACAGAGGCCTGCAATGAGCAATTATGCGAGTGGGACGTGCAGAATTGGAGTGCTTGCTCTCAAGATTGTGGTGGTGGCGAGCGGAACAGAACTGTCACATGTCCACGAGATGATTCTTATTGCATTGGCACCAAGCCAGATACCACAGAGGCCTGCAATGAACAGAACTGCTCCACTACAACGGAGGCTTTTGCTGGTGAAGCTGATGATCCGAGTTCAGCATCCTGGATGAACTGTAAGCTTCGTTGCGCTGTTCTGTGCTGTGCAAGCAGTTTGTGGTTTTCAGCTTACTTGCGATGATGCAATGCGGCACACCAGTCTTGACAAGTTGTGTTTTGGCTGTTCAAGCCAAATAGCGTGCATGTTCTTGAGCTTCTCGCTGTTGTGCCATCAACTGTTGAGCACACACACAGAGTATAATAGGTCAGGTGCCCAATCCGTCAATGCGACTTTGACCTTGGTTGTGTTCGCACACGGGATCTGGGAGGAATGTGGACGAGCTTTATGGTGATGAAGTAGAGTCAGAACCTCTAAAGACCACACAGCCTTGTGAGTCCAAAATCATCGATTAATCGACGCCGTCGAATCGATCCTGGGCTTAGCCGCTCGCCATTGACAACCTATCGATCGCAGCACATGGATGGTCCTCCTTGCATGAAATTCTGAGTTGGACAGAAAGTCCGCATGTCGTTAGTGGGGTACACACACAAGAGAGTTGAGTGCGCCCGGCTCGAGTATTGCCACCACCCGTGAAGACCTAGCAGGTAAAATTACACTGGGTGAAACAAACACGCATGCAGTGGGGTCAAACCGTATTCAACTTTGAACGGCTTGAAGCTTGAGAGGCTCCAGATGTCAAAGTGTCTACAACGTGAAATGTAGAAAACGAAAGCTCGAAAATGCATCAGTGCATACCTCAGCATCATAGCTTTGTTTGACACGGTCTGCAATCTGGTACCGTGTCCCACTGCTGCAAACCAATAAAAGAAATCGAAAGCGCCCGTGATTCCAAGGTGGTCACACGCACACTCACGCACTTTGCAATCTATGTGGGCTGGTGTGTAATATGCTGGGATATGCTGGGCAATACATCTATGCTGGTTCCCGCCAAGGTTTGTTCCCGCCAATCCTGTTGTTCAATCAACATGCTTCATTCATGACTGTTTGTATTGCGTGCAAGACATTTTTTTCCAATAGTTTTTCATTGCACACCCTCTTGTTTTGATGAATCAAATGTTTGGTTGTACAATTTTCCAAGTAGTGCTTGATCTTGTTCTCTTAGACGACTTCGACATTTGCGACCGCAACTGGCACAACATTGAGCAGCCGCGCGACCACCGCAAGTGAGGAGGCAGGGGTTGGAAAGGGAAACATTTGCTTTCCAACTTTCTCATGAAGGAATGAACTGTTCAACTTTCAAACTCGAGCAGCATGCGATCAACGACATCGACAGTGTTCTCTCAGGCCTGAGTCAGCTGGACTGGTCACTCACATTGAATGGGTGTTCATGCCGAAACCGAGAGCTTCCAAGGTGCTCGTGCTCACTGCTAGAATACGTAGAGTGAAGAGTGTGGTATTGGCCAAGAACTAGTTCAGGTAGTTCCTGCATACCTGGGATCATTTGCTTCCCATGGCATCAATCTCTTTTCGGCTTGGGCGTGTAGAGCGCTTTGAGCTAGCCCTTCCTTTTCCGCCTTGTGTAGGCCTTCTTGGGGTCTGTGTGTCCTTGTCCAGGCCTTGTGGGTCTGTGTGTTTGCTTGGCTGCGCCGTGGGCCTTGCTCTCACTGTGAACCCCTTCTTCCACCTTGTCCGGGGCTTGTTGGTCTGTTTGGCCCCGCCCAGGCCTGCCAGGTCTGTGTGTCCTGCTTGGCAATGCCGCCTCCTTTCTCCACCTTCCCGGGTCTGTGTGGCCGCCTTCTTCTTTGATTTGAGGTGGTCTTGCCAAGCCACCTGGGATAAAGCCCACTTCCGCAGCTGCGCAGGATTCCGCAACTAGGATTTCGCAACGGAGACGTTCTCGACAGTTCGAGCAGCAACCACAGGTCCCGAGCAAGCAAAAGCAAACGCAGGGTTGGGTGGGGGGGACAATCGCGCTGGGTGGGGGGGACAATCGCGCTCGTTGGAATTGCAACCCAGACTTTCAGTTTCAGAACGCCAGTTGCAGAATCTGAATATCAACTCCAGAACGCCAGTTGCATAATTTTACTTTCCAGTTTCAGTATACCAGTTTCAGAACACAAGAACCCAGTTTCAGAATCCTAGTTTCAGAACTCCAGTTTCAGAATGCCCGTTTCAGAACCCTAGTTTCAGAACTCCAAATTCAGAATCTGACTGGTTAGTTTCCGAACCCGGCTCTAACCAGGCACCTGGTCAGCGCCAAGGGCTCAATGAGGTCTTAGTGGCCGGTCTGGCGCATTTTGGCTGCAGTTGCAGATGTCAACTGCATGTGCATTTGTCACTGCTCGGTCTTTCTTATTTTGCTTGATGACTTTCTATTTTGCATGTGTTGATGACCAAATGTTCTCAGATTGTTAGGATTGCTGGTCTTATTGCCGCTGGTATTGTGGTCTATTGCTGCCACCGCTGCTGCCGCCCAGACGCCGCTTGTTGCTGCCATTGCAAGAAGCAGGACCTGCTTGCAGTTTGGTTGAGGGTGCGCTGCATAGTCTTGTCAAGCTCTAGGTCCGAAGGCTTGAAATAGCATAGTGCGGTCTTTATATCTAAAGTCCAAGGATCAAAGCACTCTTCTGATTCTTTGTAGAAGGGTACACACACAAGGACCCACTAAACACTGAATTACTAATTTACTAGAAACAATGAACCTAACTGGTCAGGGTTTCCATTCCACGAATCATCAACGCCCACCTCGAGGATGAACGGGTCAGGAAGTATCGTCGTTGATCAACTGCCTGCCGCCTGCCCCGCACATGCATTCCACTCCCCCACTTGCTGGGAGTCTTTGGCTAGTGCTTCGTCATGCATGACTATTGATAATCATCCTGCATGGTCATTGAGTATCCTTGATCATCTGAACCGACAGGAGGACGATGTGGTTAAGGCACCAGGACAGGAACCAGTGGTTGTCAAGGCGTGAGCGCACGGGTGGGAGTGAAGGACCAATAAACTGCGATTCTTGCCGTGGAATGGGTGCGTTTTGAATGTGCAGACATGACTGGGGCTCACCTAGTGGTCACTGAAAAAAGTAGATCCAAACAGGGGTCGGGTTGGTGGTTGTCGCGGCCTTTTGTTTGATGTTTTGCTGAAATCTGGTAGAGTGGTTTTGACAAGTTCACTCTGGTGTTGGTTGAGTAGGCGTTTGCTAGCAATGAGATTGCCTCGGCAAGCTGCTTGGTGAACGCCAGAAGGATGAACACCTTTCCACTCAACTGGCCAAACACCCAGCTTCACACTGACAACGTTTGTACTTGCGGTTGCAGCTGGTGATCTCAACTTAACAGCATTTCGTAGTTTATCCAGAAGGAAAGACGTGACCGGTCACGAACCATTGCGCAATGACTGCTTTCAACAGCATTTCATTGTCTATCCAGAAGGGAATTCCTGTTCCTGGCCTCAGAGGAATCGAGTTGTCCATATAATACCCGCATGGGCGTGTGAGTCGCGCAAGTCTAAAACGGCTGCAAGAACGAAATCTCCTCCACAACCCGGCTTGGTGGGTCGCCCAAGTTTGACGCAGAGGCGGCTTGCGCACCAAGCTAAGCAAGGAGTTTCCACATTTGCCAGCAAATGTTCTTTCCAGGTTTTGTCGCTTCTACTGTATATCCTGCGATGAGAACTTCACAGATTGCGTAATTGTGTATGGGCAGCCACTGCGTATCGTTCATTTTGTCCAACGAAGTGCTATTTGCCATGGCTTTTCCATCTCTCAGTTAACTCTAGCGGCGCTTTTGCTCCATACTCTTCAACAGCTTTACCAGGAACAATGACAACGCTACCACGTGTTGCATCACCAAGTTCATCACCAAGTTCATAAGCTCCATCAGTAAACACCAGCGTGGGTCTCTCATGCACATCCGCTTTCATACTTCTGGGGCTCGCGTTGCGTGCCCACTTTTGAGCGCATGAGCAACAAGGGAGACTTTGGAACTTTCTTGTTCTGCATGGTTGCATCGTGCGCAAGCCACAAGTGGTACAGAAGAGATTGACCTACCGTCCCATCATGGTGGCGCATCTTTTTTCAGGACACCGCCGGTGTGGCGATCTTCATATGATGTTAGAGAATATCCACATTAACCACCACGACTGGAAGTGAGCATCGAGGTAATTTTCAGTGAGGGATATTTTGCCAAACGCGATATTCTTTACAGTCTTTACAAGTTCAAGCAGGCCATTGCTTTGGGCCTTCTGGTCGCAATTTCCTGCGGTTCGCGGCGTCAACAATGGAAGACCTGACATCATCTGCGCAGGGGCATCTCTGTGGTCTCCCGGCAATGAAATTTTCTTGGCGTTGCTTGGAGGTTGGTCATTGTTGTCCTGATGCACCCAGCATTCTGCTTGATATGGAAATTCACGCAGGCTTCTTTTCGCCGAAACCTACAATGCTTGTCGCGGTGAAAGAACGGCGTGGAAGATCACCAAAGAGCAGGGCCACCTCCACTGGGAAAAAACTTCCACTGCGAAAGACAAGTCTGGAGCTTGGAAACCAGCATACCAGCCAAATTGAAAGTTGTCTGATTGAACGGTTTTTCTTCGGAGACTTAGTTTGGAGGTCTTCCGGGCTCTCAACAGCAATGAGTGCCATATGGGACGAGATTACTGCCCCCAACCTAGCGCGGTCTTCTGGCTTGACGAATGGCTGCTTCACACACAAATATCGTTGAGAAGAAGAAGACACCCCAGGGGCTCACGGATGGACCTACCATTCTTCGGGCAAAACCCGACCAAAGATCCCTCGAATTACTTTTTTCGGAGCAATGTGGGTTTGATGATGTTCGACAAGGGTGGGCGGACAACCGCACAGTGCCAGGAGAAGCGTCGCGCCCGCAGTGGTGCTGGCGACACTGATAGCTCGCGTCTAGCAGCTTGGATGAATAAGTTGCGCTGATTTGCGTTGCGCAAACAGTTTGTGTAGCACACCAATGCTCGCGCAAACGTTCCTTGCTGATAATCTTGTTGCAACAGAAACGCTGTTAGCGATGCTCCAACCTGGACAGCATCGTTCAGTACGGATGGTGCTGGTGTCGGACTGGCGTTTTAGCAGTCTCATAGTAGATGCATGGAAGAGCTTTCCGACAGTCGTGACATGTTAAAGGTTCTTAGTTACACCACTGGAACTTCCTATGAACCTGCGGATTTGTTGGGTCACAACCAGCAAAATTTCTTGTAGAAGACAACGAACAAACTAGATCAAACCACCGTTCAGAACACGTTAAAATAAACGGACACCTGCTTGACAAAGTGTATCAAAATTCATCAGTTCTCTCATGCTCCAGCCCATTTGCAGTCACAGGCTTTGTACTCAGTCAAATCACATCACAGCCTCTAGCAACGGTGCAGAAGGCACATATATCGTTGACCATGTATCAAAGAACCATCACAGTCTCTAACAACTATGCAGAGGGCACATATTTCGTGTGACCATGTATCTAAAGAACAAACTCTGCGCAGGACCGCCAATTGACAGCGCTCGTGTCAACCTGCTGCACTGAGTACTGGTCAGGTCGAGCTTTGTAGGAGATAATAACCAGATGTTTGCTTTGATCAATGGATTCCCAGAAACTCCAATACTAGAAGCATTGCGCTTGGTTTTTCAGCCTAAGTTTTGCGCCTGGCACCAAGGCCTGATGATGTGATTGTAACTGTAGACAAGGACTTGCCTTTGGGAGAGGGATCACAAGTCACCGCGTTTTCCGCCAGGTTTGACGGTGGCAACTTGCGCCAATATCAGTCATAAACTTGCAGTCTTCCTGCCAAGTGCAAGACTTGACAGAACAATTCACGGAAAATTGCACTTTGGGAAGGAACAACTAGTTGTGTATGGAACATGCAGTCGTATTTGGGTGGCAGGGTGGGTAAGGTCTGTGGTCCTTGACATTTTGGCTCAAGGACCACACCCTTCCACTTTCTTTTTCTTGCACCGACACGTCATTGGTGGTGGAAGGGGTGCATGAGTCTGGCACCCACCGGCCTACACACATTGCAGCCGGTGGGGAGCTTCACGACGGCCGCGGTGGGTTCCAGCCATTTGGTTGAACTGCTCGTGGCTTTGATCGTGGTGATCGTCACCACGTGCTGGTGCTGCATTCGAAGAGCGTGCAGGTCGTGCGGAACCAGACGACTGAGCATCCAACTGCCTTCAGGGTTCGAAGTTAGCATCAATGGAACCGACTGAAGAAGAGCGAAAGAAGATGCTTGGCATGCGTGAGGTTTTCACCTTCGCCGGACTGGATGAGGCACATCTGGTAGACGACAAAACGGTGGCTGGATCGCTGGCAGCTCTCCTAGGAGCTAAGCCAGACACGAAGCCAGCAGCTCTGGGTATTTTGTCGGAGGCAGACTATGACGCAGCCGTCAAAGGATGGAAGATCCCTGCTGCTGGTGGTGCCGCGAGGCAGCCGACGTTGACAGAGCTGGGACAGGCCAAACTGATTGGCCACGTATGCAGGATAGTCGCTGGCAACGGTGAAACTATAGAGGACCTCAAAAGGAAGGCATCGGCCATGACATCGGCTTCACCGGGACCAACAAGCCCGAGCACGTCTGCTGCTGGGAGGAAGATAAAGCTCAGCAGTGTGATCTCACAGATCGACGACACAGAGATCTTGTTGGACGAAGAGAAGGAAATCCTGAAGGCCTTTGCAAGATATGAGGTCGTCTACGGAAAGGGCGAACGCCCCCCAAAGGAGAGTGAGCCAACTACGGAACAGATAACTGCAGTTCGGCATCTGCTGGACCAGGGCAGTGTGCCGTATGTTGATTTTGCCATCTTTGGCCCCTATGGTATGCGCATCATGAAGAAGGTCAAGCTCTCAGGCGTGATGCTGGGGCGTGATGGATCTGTCAAGAGCCAGGAGTTTCACGGCCCTGCCAACATATCTCACTGGATTGCATCTTACACGGTATTGCAAAATGTCCTAGTGATGCTGGATGCTGTAGACCTTGGAAATCTCCTACGATACAAGTCACTCATCGAACGCTTGCATGACAAGTATGGTGAGAAGGTCTGGAGTGTCATATACCAAGGTGAAGTGAGATGCAGGTTGGAGCACATGCCCAGGCTCAAGAGGATCGCACAAGCGGAGTATGACCAGACAAAGGCGTCGGGCAACCCCACACCTGTGGGGTATGAACCATTGAGGCCATGGAGCTATGTCTGGGCGAAGGCGGTTGAGGACCTAGAGTTCTGGCGAGAAGAAGTTGTGGAGACCTCCTACCTGATCTTGACAAGGATCACCAACACGGCAGAGGCAGTTGAAGGAGATGCAAGAACTTCACCGCCGGGATTACATCCGAGAGAGACAACACCAGCGCCGTGGAGAATGGGAGCCGGTGCAACCTCGTCCTCTCCAGCCTCACCGGATCCACCCTCAGCAGGACCTGAGCCGAGGGTCAGAAGGGGCAGTCGAACCGGCAGGTTCAACAATGTGGCAGATGGTAGATACCTCACAAACAGGACGGGCCACAAGTTGTGTGCGGACTTCAACAAGGGCACGTGCACCGAGGTAACGCAAGGGATCTGGTGTCAACATGCATGGGACTCGGTTCATCAGTGTGAGCGATGTTTGGGGTCTCACTCAGCTTCGAAGTGTCCGCATGCCGAGATGCCTGAACCAGGATTCCTGAAGAGATCATCGAAAGGAAAAGGCAAGAAGGGCGGAGGCAAGAAGGGTAAAGGTGGCAGAAGGCCACCCTACTGACATGGAGCTTCCGAAATGCATGAGGGTCGAGAGTTGGAGAAATCTGATAAACTTGACCCAGCGCAGAATTCGGTCGTCGGCAAGTCAGATACAGAACACAGACTGGTTGATGGCAAAGTGTTGTATCTTTACAGTGGACCACACCGGCCTTCAGACGGTCTTGGCAGATACCTCAAAGATCGTGGCATTGAAGCGACCTATGTGGATAGAGAGATCAATGAGCTGCATGATCTCCTGGATCAAGACGTCTGGGAGAGGATTGAATCGAATTTGTCTATGTACGATGGTTACATGATTTCACCACCTTGCAGCACCTTTTCACCTGCAAGGCAAGGCATGGGAGGACCGCAGCCTCTGAGGTCGACAAAAGGTCCGGAGGTTTACGGACTCAAAGATCTGGCGGCAGAAGACAAGCAGAAGGCAAGAGAGGGTAACATCCTCGCGCTCAGAGCTCACCGAACGGCTTTGCAGGCGCATAGGAGCAGGAAGCCATGGCTACTCGAACAGCCGCATGAGAGGAAAGAAAAGACTTCCATGTTCAAGCTGGATGAGTATAAAACGTTGATTGCAATGGATGGAGTGCTCAGGTACACATTTGCACAATGCAGGTTTGGGGCACCTTCAGAGAAGCTGACAGATTTGTTGAGCAACATTGAAGGTTTGTCTGAGTTCACAGTGTTGTGCAATCATCCAAGCAGGTGGTGGAGAATTCCGTGGAACGGAAGGTGGATCTATGCTGCGCACCCTCCGTTGAAAGGCAAACAGAGGGCTATCCCGGCGGAGCAATGGAGACCTGCAATGCTACGAGCCGGAGAACCACAAGGTGAGTACTTGACCAGACAGGCAGCTGCGTACCCTAAGAAGCTCAATGAAGCCTTGGCTGCAGCGCTCGCAGGTGCAATCAGCAAGATGAAAGACAAGAACAAACATCCAGCAGGCAATACGGATAACAAACGACCGGCATCGGTGACAGACTGGGACCCAAAACCGCAGAAGGCATTGAAACTGTCCGGGCAAGCAGAACAGCAGAAGAAGCAAGATGATGTTCGAAATAGCCTGAGGAATGTCCCGTTGTGGATCACGGACAGAATGAAGTACATTGGCGTGCAAGTACGCAACATCATCGAGAAGCACCTCGATGGCGACCAAGATGCTGAAGACCAGCTATGGCAGAACATCGCACGGCATCAAAGCCAGGAGGACGTGACCATCCCTGAACAAGCAGTATCACTGATGAGGCAAGACATCAAAGAGATGTTGATTAGGAACTCATCTGGTGGATTGCCATCCGACCTGTCGATCGACCCGGTTGACAGCAACAATTGCACGACAGTCATTCGTGCTTATCTGTTAGAAGCCTGGGCACAGGTCGTGGAAGATCCGGCGGCGGCAACCGTCTCTTGGCTGTATGCAGGGGCACCGGCTGGACTTCATATGCAGTCTGAAAGTCTGGATGGAGTCTTTCCGAGAGTGGACGATGACATCGAGCTCCTTGATGTCCAAAGCCTGGCTACAGATTTTGACAGCTTCAACAACTATGTCGGAGTTGAAGAAGACAGCGAGGCCCTGGAGACACTCGAGAGTTATCATCGAAAGGGCTACTTGTCAAGATACGACAGCCTCGAAGAACTGGAAGCAGAGCTCGGAGACAAGCCCGTGTTGTCGAAACTGGCTTGCCTCAAGAAGTTGAAGTACAATCCAGATACGGGGCAATACATCAGCAAGAGCCGCATCATCTTGGACTGCAGACGAAGTGGAGTCTCGCTCACATCAGTGAGAACTCACAAGAGTGTCCTGCCAAGGATCACTGATGCAGTCGACTCAGCACTGACACTGATGGACCGTGCAACAGAGGGTCAAGGTATCACTTTGTTCATTGCTGACATCGTGGATGCCTTCTGGCTGATCCCACTGCATCCGAAGGAGAGGAGGTTCTTCTGCGCAAAGCTGCGGGGAAAATTCTACCTGTTCACTCGAACAGCGCAGGGATCACGCATGGCACCCTTGACATTTGCTGCGATTATGGCACTGGCGTCACGCTGGATACAGAGTCTCAGTGAGGAGTTCCAGTTGCAGACATATGTTGACGATCCGCTGGTGATTATAAAGGGCACACAGCAGAGAATTAGAAGACTAGCCGTAATCATCGCGGCTGCATGGCAGATCATGGGCTTCCCGCTGGCATTCCACAAAGCAACACTGTCGAACAAGCTGACGTGGATAGGTGTGCAGCTGGAAATAAGACAGGCAGCAATCATTGCAGAGGTCACTGAAGCAAAAGTGGGGGAGATCTCACAGCTGCTGACTGAAGCACTGAAGCACAACCTCGTGTCGGTTAAGAGCTTGCGCACAATCATTGGCAAGTGCGTGTCAATAGCATCAGTGATTGTTGTGTGGAGGCCTTTTGTCCAACAACTGTATACGGCCTTGCATGCTGAAGAGACACATGCTCCCTCGGGATGCGTCTGGACCAAGCAGATCGAGTCTGCGATCCACTGGCTGCTCACATTCTTGAAAGGTGAACAGGCCGGCATTTGCAGAGAGTTTACACTTGCTGCCTTTCGTAGGCAGGGGCCTGTGGTGGTCATCACCTGGGATGCTAGTCCTTATGGCATGGGAGCGACCCTGCAAATCCAGGGACAGTTCGTTGAATTCTTTGCCGTCCGCATCTCACAGGCGGATCAGGACATACTAGGAGTGCAGGCGGGTGACTGCAAAGGGCAACAGGTGTGGGAAGCGTTGGCCGGACTCATTGCGTTGAGGCAATGGGCAGTCCACTGGCAGCACACGCCAGTGGTCCTCCAGATCAGAAACGACAATGTTGGCGCATTGTCGCTGTTCGCCAACCTTAAGGCAGGCTCCCGAGCCTTGAACTTGATCGCCAGGGAGTTCGCCTTGGACCTGGGCCAGGCTACGTGCAGGCCACAGTTGATCACACACATCCCGGGCCTGA